GCGTACCAGACTGCCATATATTATACATTTTTTAACATTCGTACGTTATATCTTTTATTATAGCATTCTCTCTCACGCATTCACTCTTCCATACTTCCGCAGAACCTCGTTGCTGTCCTTTTATATGAACCGCGCAATTTACCTTAAGTTAAATTGAAGGTATGCAATACAAAGAGTCGCGCGATATCCCTACGTCTTTATTATATTATAGAACAGTAGCAATATTTTAATATAATATATATGTATATTAATAAAGGCCACGAGTGTGTTCAATATAAAATTACTAGTTGAAATTCGCTCGTAATAATTCGCTCGTAATAATCCCTTCGTAACTCGTTTTTCTTTTTTAATTACGTTAATTTAAATTATTTAAGTACGTAATTTTTCTTTCTGCATACACAGTGTGCCCCACAAAATTGAAATAATAATGTAAAACAAAATGAAATAATTTTCGATCTTGTACAGTTTTATATTATTATCGTATATATGAACGTATAATTGAAACTGCAAAGTATACCTATAAATTCACTATTAGAACTTAAAACTGAAGCGTCTAAAGCTATCCACTTTGACGTGATACAAACTTAGTACATACCAAATCATATTTACAGTTCAATTACATGAGACACTCTGTATATATACAGAAATTAAAAAGTGGTATCACAAAATTTAGTGAAATATCCTAAACCTTGAACACATGAACAATATTAGTAGCCATAGGCCTTAGAACCATTTCCGGTGATATAACCTCTAAGAGTATAAAATATTGTTTCAAATATATGATATGACCGTAGAATATAATTTGACTTATCTGAATTTTAAATACTGTTTTTTACAATATTACAAATATTTCGAATGTTTTATTTAAATTGTTTAACATATTTTATTTACGTAGAGTATACCACAAACGTATACCATATACCAAAATAAACATGAATGATCTTAATAGCTCAAACATATTACAATAACGAAAAAGTAATTATATCTCAAAAGTTAACAGTTTTGGATGCCATATTTATAAGACGATGTATATTAATTTCTAGGTGTAGAATACAACAGTAAATTCGATGACGCCACTCTCGAGTCACTCTGTGTACGAAACGGTCGCTTCTACATTATTTTAGGCCAATGTTACGTAATTACTTATAATTCACTAAGGAGTAAATGCTGAACGTTCCACGTCGCTTGAAAATATTACATGCTCTACTGGTTCTATCTTCAATACTGTAAATGGTAAAATAACGAATCAAAATCAAAGTAGCAAAACGGGTAAGCGACCGCTATTGACAAAAGTAATCCTCTGATGACACACGTTACAACAATACGAAAAATTTCTTGGTACAAATCCTTATCAAGGACGGAGAATACGCAACGACATGATAAGAACCGCGACAAAAAGGTAACCAGTAAACAAACTGTCAACATGTGTGCGGCATTACGCTCGGTGACCGACAGTAATACTTTGACAAAAAAAATACTGGCGCGCCGGTGTTCAAAAATTCTTGAAAAAATAAAATAATATTCACAAACCACGGTAACATATTTTCTTGTTATTTTAGCAGAAAAAAAAGGGAAAAGAAGAAAACAACATTAGCTAACAGCATAGCTAAATATAACGAAGTTATTATTATGAATTAACGTTAAATATTCTCCAGCTAAAACAGCAAGAAAACTTGATGAAAAATATATATAAACATTTATTTTCGCGAGAAACTGCTCAATTATGTGGAAGTATACATGGAAGACGGTACAAGTAGCTCGTCGCGTTCCTTGCCAATCATGAGTTTTTCTCACTGTAAACGTATCTTGAAAAGTAGTATAGGCTCTAAACTTTACATCATTATAAATTCGATGTGGCTTAGATTTCAAAGCATTTCGAAAAGACAATATTATAAAACAATATATTCTTGACAACCTTTCTAAAACATAGGCCTTTGTATAGTTCAATTAGAGAATCTGTCCGTTTTTCATGTACATGATGTAGTAATTATACTGAGTTCATACAAGTTGGAACAGAATTTTTCAAGGCAGGATGAAATGGGCAGGCAGGCATATAGGCAGACGAGTATATAATTTACATGTTTTCAAATTGATCGACGCGACGCTTGGTATTGCCTTTGCGAATTTCACGAAGCGTTTTGTATTTATCACGTCCTTGACGTACGTTTTCCCTGTGAATTTTATCCATAACAGTTTCCTTCGACTCATCGCGTGACTGTGCAAGATCCTTCTTTAATGCCTGAAAAACACGTCGTTTGAATGAAATATATACAATATACATATTACTGCTTTCAAGATTTACATATCCATTAAAAAATATATCCATAGTATTTTCTTTTGCAACAAATACACCAATAAATGAAAACTTTCTTAATTATCTAAAAAATTGCACGAATTTCTTACGTTTTATTTCTTAGTTCATATTACACAATTTTTTTCTTTAAAGTTGTTAGATTTTTTAACTTTTAGGAAAATACAGTCTTCTTATATTAATTAATATTATTAATTCGTGAATATTTACACAAAAATATATTTTAAAAAATTATGGAAATTCTTTCTTCTTATACTTTAAAATTTGAAATTATAATTCAAATGAAATTTCTTCTACAATATTTCTGAAGGAAATTTCACTTTTACTATATAGGTAGTATAAAAAACAAAATACCTTAAGTTGGTCATGAAGACGCTCATTTCTTTCTGCTAAAGTACGTCGTCCTTCAACTGGATCGATTATTGATTCGTCAGTTGCAAGATCTTTTGTAACATCGCCATGAGGAATATATTCATATTCGCCATCATCTTCACCTTCTTCATTTTCTTCAACATGATGATGATGCGGTGTTGTACTACTATCCTGATATGCTCTATCTGCTTCTTCTTGCCTCAATCTATTTGTACAACATTTGTAATTATATACCGTCGAAATTCAATAGTAAGAAATTTAATAGAAATGAAAAAATTATTTTGGAAATATAATAATTTTTAATAATTAATGATTATGGATCATTTAACGTAAGGGATAAAAACCAAATTTCATACTTGGCTGCTTCAAATTCCTCCTGCAGTCTTCTTGCTTCTGCATCCTTTGCTTCTACTTCAGACTGAATGCGTTGAACCTCTTCTTGCTTGGCTCTTATTTCTTGTTCTAGTTTGGCGCGTTCTGCTGCCTCCATTTCATGTGATAGTTCCAGTTTTTCCATCATAACCGTAAGTTCCTACAAACGGATTTTAGTTCATAGATAAATATTTCTGATTCTTAATATTTAAAAATAACACCTCTCAATTTTTTTAACATAAACATCAATAACTCGACTAGTACACTTACCTTCTGACGGTCTTCTAACTCTTCTTTGGCAGCTTGTAACTGTTTCAGCTGCTCCTCCAAACGTCGAATCATTTCTTGAGCCTCATTTAATTCGGCTTGCCGCCTATCCATTTCTTCCGCCATATTCCTAAGTCTTTCTTCGTATTCTTGTTGCTTCTTCTCAGCACGTTCCCTCGCGGCTATCTCCAATTGCAATTTTTCTCTCTGTTGTTGTTTTGCAATTTTTTCCTCCCTTGCTTGAGCCTATGTGTCGTAAATTAATTTGATTACAGAAAATGTATTATGAGTACACCACGAGCAAAAATCAAAATACCTTCATTTGCTGAACATCGATCGTATCGGGTCTACGTCTACGCATGTATAGTTCATGATTCCCCATGCATAGTGCCAAAATTCGTTTATTAATCTTAACTCTGGTTGCAAAGAAAACGAAATCCGGCGCTTTCTTGTCGATTGGCTTAATTATGAACTTTTTATCGTTGAAGGAGATATTTCGAATCTCGGACCATGGAAAACCAATTTTCGGAGTCAACTTGTCGTCCTTCTCGTATATGTTCAAACCTAATGCGTCCACACCTAACCAAAGATCTGTGCCTTTCTTGTTACGAATTTCAAAGTAATTCACTCCGTACATTTCCAAATCCTACAAAAAAAATTCAACAGTACATTGGTGTGGAATGAAGAGCAGTCTTAGGAACTTTTTACAGTTAATCTAACATGTATTGTTACCTGAGCAATTTTTAAATATTCCATCATGGCATCCTCGCGTAGCATTCCACGATGTTCTTGCCACCAATTAGTAATCGAACTTTCCCATTCCTCTTTGCTCATCTTGTGTTGGTCCACGACACGTTGTGGCAGTAAGCGGTCATTAATTAAGAAACCAGCGGTGTGGGTACCTTTTTGGAAATCTCCATGTCTTGCTTGGACCGCATAAGAAGCTAACAGTACAGATGTTTCCGGAGGGCAGTATATTTCATCCGTGAGGATAGAATTTTTTACCTAAAAGCATTAATGAGTATTGTCTAATTTTTGTTCTCTTTATATGTCTGCATTTAACTAGTGTGCAATACTTCAATAATTCTTATCCCTTGAGCTGTAAGCAACTTTGTAACGAACAGCAGAAATCATTGGAATAACATTTACAAATAACACTTCTAAGTATTCCCATTGATTTGACACACAAATTATACTTTCAGCCTAGTTAAGCCACAACATAATTCTATTACCAATAATGATTGAATTCTTACAATCTTCTCTAAATCTCTTATCAAAGATAATAGTTATAATATTATTATGAGTTTTATGAAACCATTAAGACACTGTTATATTGAAAATAATAGAATTGAAGACTAAAAATATAATAATAATTTAAATATTCATTAATTTATAATTTCTAAATAACCCGTTCTTCTGTATATAGAACAATATCATCCCCTCCCTTAATTTCAAAATAATAGTTCTAGATAATAGTTTCGCTACACTGTGAATAGACTTACATACTTTCCCCTGAGTATCTATTTTAAAATACATATGGATAAAAATAACAAACTACTTCTAGGAAAAAGTAAAATATGTTTCCATATTAGACTGAATTAAATTTAAATTACAAATGTTTACTGCAATTCTATTGCACACGTGAATGAAAAAAAAGATAACTCTCTATTTCTTCAGACCTGAAGATAGAACAGCCGTAACGTAATATCTTGAATCAATTCTTCCGCAACGTCTTCGGGGTAGAATTTGCCACGGAATTTGAACTGCAATGGCGTCTCCTTCTTCACTTCCTGGTTCATGACCTGCGGAT